GCTTAATTTTTTTTTTTTTTTTTTTTTTTGTCTTTAATATGACAATTCTGAGAGACCACTGAAGGATTATGCAGTCTTGCTTTCACATATGGTCTGCCATATTTAATCCACTCACTAGTAGATTAGAGGATCATTTGTTCTAAATGCGACCTTAGATTTTTTTTAGTCAAGCTGAATCATTTTCAGCAAGCGGTGAAAATATTCCATGCTCACTAACCTTAATCTACTGTATTTAGACATAGCATTATGTACAAGTACTTGATGGTCTATTTGATTGCTTGTGGTGAATAAAAGACAGAGTCAATTACTTACAAGCAAAATCTAATAAGGCTAAAAGGGTCATTATATGAAAGGCAATCAGGCATCCACTAGCTTTTAAACTTCTGGATAAAGAAAATGGGGTTATTTCTAAGTCGCTGTGTCAGATAATGGGAATCATTTTTCATTTCGAGTGTGCGGATGATCCCTTAATTTGTCCTATTAGAAATAATGATAATTTGGATTTTAAACTAAAAGTGAATTCTTGTATGTACTAGTACTAGTATGGTGTTGCATCTTATCCTGTCAGACTCAATAGGGGCATTAACATTGACACAACAGATGGTCCTCGGATCTACTGATCCCTGGATCAAATATGGCGGACCCTACAGGAAAGAAGAGCCGACTAATCCACTGATGGTCTCCTTGCCTCCACACCCGCCTTCCTTGCAGGAATTAAACCTCGGAGCCATGGTTTAATCCATTTAATGGCAAGTGTGGAGGCAGGGAGACTAACACCCCATTCTCATAGATTAGATCGACCTACATTGGATCGACCTAACTCCCTGGGGGTTCACGCTAAATAGCTGTCAGCCGGGCGGACACGAAAGTTAATTACCCCTTAAAGCTTGTAGTAGGCGGGGACGGACACTTAAGGGGGATTATCTGACAGTAATCTAGTGAGACTCCCCGCAGTGATAGATCGATCTAAAAGTTGTGAGAACAGAGCCTATATAGTCAGCTCTTCTTTCATGTAGGGTTAGCCATATTTGATCCGCAGATCAGTAGGTCGGGGGATCGTCCGTTGTGAATGCCCTCAATATTAGTATAGTACTGGTATGGGTGTGGCGCAATCCACTGAAGCATTAAAACACAGCATACATTTTATTTCCAACCCTGTCCCAGACTACTATTAACCATTCATTGTAACTGTAGGGGATAGCTTTCCAAGTTTAAAAATGCTATATCTGACTCAATTGTTATTAAGCTGAAAGGCCAAAGTCATGACTTTAGTATCATTAATGAAAGCATAATCTGAACTGAAAACCACATGTTTTAATGATAACCATCATATGCAGTACTTTATGTCACTTACTCAGAACTGTAGGCTGGTTATATAAATACAGGAAATGCAGGTATGATCAGGCAGGCAGACACACACACAGAGAGAGAGAGAGAGAGAGAGAGAGAGAGAGGGAGGGAGGGAGAGAGAGAGAGTGAGTGAGCATGTGTCTGTAAACCTCGACATCATTAAGGCGTACAAGTCTATGTGAGCAAAACTCTAGAATTACATCAGTTGATATCTCTGTATCACTTAAGTAAAGGGAGGAAGTCTCTGTGACATGTTAAAGGCCATTTAAGCACATTCTATGCTCAAGACAAAGATTTATTAACCCAATTATAATATCAAACTATAACAAACACAATATATATATATATATGCAGAAGTGCAGGGAAGGAGGTAAAAAGAAACCCCCCTCCCCCCCCCCCCAAAAAAAAAAAATCCATGATTCAAAACAGTGCTATATTCAGCAATCTAACAGTCCAAGTCCAATAAATTCAAGGCAGTCTGTAAAGTACATTATAGTGTATCTAAGCATGTAATAGAATGAACTATGCAATGTGCTTATCTGACTTACAGCTAAACATCAATGCCCGCTGACAGTGCTACCAATTAAATCAACCTCACAGACCAAATAAAACGTTCCCTAACTTCCTCGTACATACAACCAATACGATTAGAGCCAAATGTAGAACTGTTACACTCACTTCACCATAGTTACTTTTACCCCATATGATCTTGTACCACACTTCACTTTGACTCGGACTTCAGGTAATGAAACACTGGGTCACTTGATTTTTAGTTTCTTCTGAGTGTATTAAAATTGAATGAAATTATGTTTTAGGGATAATTGTTAGTATGGTTCTTCTTTGGGTCTTTTGCTCTGGATGGCTTTAAAGTTGGTAAATGTGAATAGGACTGACATTTTTTTTGATAGCTGACATGATTATTATCAAAACCAAATTAAAAAAAATATCCCCCACTTTCTGTAACATACAATCCTTTGTTTTTCTTTCATTTATCACTATACTTTCAGTAAGAAAACATGTTGTGAAAGATAGCTGATAAAAGTTAACGCTGTGGGAGACTGCGCTCATTCAAGTCTTCTGCTGTATTGCTCTATGTTAAGTGGTGACATTGATGCAAAAGGTTTTTATAATCATTTTAACATCAGCAGCTGATGAAAAATAACACTAGTAATGGCAACATTTGACATTTCCAGTTAATCTGAGAAAATAATCCTTTCTAGGTCTAACATCAAAATTATCTTACATACAGAAAATGTCATTTCATTTATTCAGTTGTCATTAACTTATGTGCATATCCTGCTACGTATATGTAGCTTTATAAAGCTTTTTTAATATCGATCACATGACTCGCGTCTTCATACAGTCTTCACATTGCATGAGCAAAGCGGAGAAATATACGTTGGACAAACGGTAAATAAAAAATATAACATTACAGTAGAATAACATCCATTCCATTGCAAAAAATCGATTGTAAATCCGAATAATTAATTGATCGTTAATTGTAGGATGACATGATAAGCAACTTACCGTAGTCGATCCGATCTCGTGGTCACGCAATTCTAGGCGATGGCTTTCCCATCTTCGCAAATACTTTGAGTTCATAATCTTACTTATAATGGTTCGTGTGTGATTCAGACGACATACTTGTATATCTCCTTGATGAACCAGTTTGTATCGCGGTCCAGTCTTGTTGTTTTTAGTCGAATTCTGTTTATTGAGCGCTACAGGAAAATGCTCATCTCTGGATGTCGCCATGTTGAAAAAACACCACCAGCCAAATTTCCACGAAAAACAAGACTCCCTTCGCTCTGAATTCTCCACTTTGAAGGTTGGCGTGACGCTTCAAAAATTGATAAACGCCTCTCCTGGTTATCTTTAGAATCCCTTAAAGGACAGGGGGCAATCCAGAGGAAATTATCAGTTAAAACATGGTACTCCTAATAATGCTCGGTCTACTGTCAATGACATGAAAAGGTTTGTGTACATCAGGCTCAGAGACCACGTGACTACTGACGTCAAAGCCGGGAAGACTGCGATTGTGCTGCTACACCAAGCCCCTCTAACACAATCGGTCTTCTGTAAATGACATTGAAAAGGTTGTAATATGTTACCCACCACCAGGGTGACAGATTGATTTTCACAAGATATTCACAGATATGTCTTGAGGTAAAAAGACAGTCATTTGATTGGCTGGCTTTTTTAAATTTGCCTATAATATCTGCCATCTTGGCAGAGGGTAGTAATATGTAGGCTACATCAGAATCAGGCCATGTGACTCTGACGTCAAAGTTGGGAAAACTGCGGTTGTTATCCAACCCCCCGCTAACATAATCAAGTTTTATCCGAGGAAATATACATAAGTAGCTTAAGCCTGCTAATCGGGCACGCAAAACTCTGTTGTAATTTAATATATAATTACAATGATAATGATAAACCTTCTATTTTTGTTATTGGCTGGCCAAAAAAAAAAAAAAAAAAAACGCGTATGGCTATATTGAAAGGCAATTTATATAGCAGCAAAATCTAAATAAATATAGTAAGCTTTGTAATTGTTATGATTCTGTATGTAGTGGTACCTTGATTGAAATATTCTAACATAAAATTCAAGCATTCTTCACCAAGACTTTCGCCAACTGTGATTTTGAATGAATGAATGTAGGCCTATTAATCAGTTAATCAAGCAGAAAGTATGCCTGAATGATGGAATTGATGAATCCACTTGGTGACGTCAAAAATCTGAAGTAATTTTTGTGTCGGATGTTAATCCTGTATTTAAGCGTATGACTCAATGCACTGTCGTGCGACAAAAATAAATCAGCATATCAACAAGTGACGCTGAAGATCTATTTAATTCCTGGTCGTGATAACCGACATGATAACAAATCTGAGTTGATTTTCAGCTATCAAGAGATCTACGGTACAAATGTTTGGTCGTTTACTGATTATTTAAAGACAAAGACATTATAGTTTTTTTTCTTGCAAAAAATGGATCTTTATTTCGGGAAAGAAGAGAAATAAAATTCAAAAGCCAACAAGGACACATGTGTATAATGAATTTTAGATTTTAGATTAAAGTTTAGATTTTAGATTAATTTCTGACAAGCTATAGCATACGTATACATGTAGTGCATGTACATAGACTGTATATGTGTCATAGAAGTATGATATGTGCAGAACATGAAATGTGAAGATAGCCATCTCCACCCGTCACTCCTGACTGCCGAAACGGGGTTAATAGGGATTAAACCCATACACCCCTTCAGTGGCGGATTTAGGGGGTGTAAGGGGAGTGCTGACCTTCGATTTCTGATTTAAAAAAAAGCACAAAAAAAACGTCTACCCGAATCATAGTTCTAAACCGTACCAAATGGCTCCATTTGCTCTCCAACACACCAATTATTTTCGGGGCCCTCGAGCGTGCCCCGAACCTGACGCCAAGGGGGAGAGGGTCGGCCTCGCAATCCGAATCCTGTCAATACCTAAAAAAACGCCCCCCGCCTTCAAAAAATTCTGTATCCGCCCCAGTCCCTTCACCTGCCACTTGTGCTCCCCCCTCTACGTATTGTGTGTTTGTGTCAGTCCATTTGCCACCTACCACAGTTACAAGATTGACCATATTTAGCCAGAGGCATTATCTGTGACTATCTAGTGAGAAATCAATCAGTGGATCTGGTAGAGGGTATCTATGTCTTAGGTATAGGCTCCTATCGACTCAATAGAAATCAGTGTCAGTTATGTATTTTTAAGAAACGACGGGTGTTAACGACTGGGCATCTCCTGCCAGTGACAGGCAATTACTTGTAGGCCTATGTTTTCGACTCCAGTGGCAATATGACTCATTTACCACAAGAATAAAACACGATGGCGTTGAATACTTTGTTTTACCTTTATCCGCCATTCTAACCGTAGCGCTGTTTTTGAAGTGATCACTAAGAGTCTAAGAATAAAATATTTTACAGGAAATTGATATGTGTTGATTCCACTTCTAAATAATGAAATCCATATCAAGTGTTAAGCAATCTTTTTAAAATGATGAATACCGACTATTGCCGAAAATGAATTCATGATCAAGTACTATACGTAATACAGATAAAGTAAAACTATGCTAAATTCAGTAAATAAATATGGAAATTACCCATTCAGGCAGAAAGATAGAAAGTAAACAGATGGAAATAGCGCACTCAGGTGCGAAAACAAAAACATGCTTCTTTCCTTTTACGGCAATTTGTCACGTTTGTTTACTTGGAAATGTGAAAGAAGACACAAAACGTGACCCTTGAGGGCGAATAGTTGGCGGCATATATTATACGACGAATGTTTATCCTCGTGTTTATTTAATGAAGCTTTTTCCTTAAAAACAGCTATATTTACATCTTTCACCGAATACTTGTAAGTGAGATTCCATGTCTAAATTTCAAAACAATGTATTTACAAAAATCGTTCCATTTTGCAATCAACATGGTTATCTTTTTACCTTAAAACGCTTAAAACCAAAACCCATTTAATAGACAGAGCCCCAACTTTGAAAGAAACATCCAGGAAGTTCCCCACCTAATGATTTTCCCTCTTTCAGCAGTGCACATGTTGGGTTGAGTAAACTAATGACGTAATTCCTATGTCCATCACATATGGTTTCGGGATATTGTAATGTTCACCCCGCAAGGAAGTCAGGACCTTGTTCTTTTCGTCTGTTTGATCTCATTTAATTTGGCTCTGTTCGTTACTTTTCATCTTGACATAAAATAAGGCATGTAAAATTTTGTTCGACCTGGAATTTTTAACTACCTATACATAGACCGAAGAAAAGACAACGTTTAAAAATTAGTTCTATCTTATTATGTTACAGCAAACATAAAAAAATGGAGCACATGAATGTAAGCCTCTTTTAATATCTTTAAGGAATAACAGCTCTTCATTTTGACCAGAAAAGTGCCAAATCGGATTTTCGTGCGGTAAACGACGATGTTTCGATACTTACCAATGGTTAATGAATCTGTTCCGACATTCAAATTTAGTCCATGTTATTTTTATGTTGGATTTTTGTAATAATCTTGTAAGAAATTATTACTGAGGATAACCAGCTATTGAAAGTCCACGTGGTCTGATGGCAAGCACAGATTTCAGAATAATAGTGATAACCGCCGTTTTGGTGGTAAAATGGAATTTATTATATCTGTATGTGTTATTTACAATGAACTTAATGTAGATTTTTGAACCTCAGATTAACCGTTGTTATCCCTTTGACAGAGTAAAGATTATACCAGAAAATACTGAACCAGAAGAGAAGTAGTTCACGTGTCTGTGCACGTGCGTGCACGAACACTCGAAAGTGTACCTGTGAGCTCCTTAAGCAGGTATGTGTTACGTTAGTAGGCTCGAGCGTCCAGCTGTGCACCCTCCAGGATGATTACTTCCGACTCTCAAGAAAGGATAATTGCAGTGTTCGTTTGAATAATCGCTAAACCGCTCTATATTAAGCAAATCTCTTTTCTGGGCTTAACTTCCAGTTTAGACAGAAAGCTCTACAGTTTTTGCTTGGCAAAATTAACCAACTGGGTTCTCTGGGCAGTTAGATGTGATCGTATCTGAAGGAAATTCTGGACTTCCGAACTTTTCAATTTTGTATTAAGAATGGTGAACTAATGACACATGAAGTGCTTTCTAGCCTTAAAAGGCTCAGGTGTGCCGTGTAACGTGACAGAGAGTCCCCCATAACAGAGAGTCCGTTTCCCATTCATTTGTTCAGGTAAGCCTCGCCCTAGATTTTGACCCACTTAGGTCAGACTAACCCTAACCATTATAACTATATGGAGGGCGGACTTTCTGTTACACGGACCCTCAGTTTCGTTACACCGGCGCCTAGCTAACCTTCATGCTTCATCAGTTACACCAAATAATCATAAGATCTTAACAATGGGAAAAGCAAGTGAATTGTGAGGATGTCACTGAAGTGTTTTTGCTCTATATTTTTGTATATTGCACAAAAGATTGCCAAAATAAATTCAGTTTCACTTTTCCTCTGAGAAATATCACATATACAAAGATGATACAGTACACCACCTGCACTATCATGTAGACGCACCGCCTTGAATGTTATTAACCCAGAAATGTCGGTAATTAGAATGCTTCTCATCGTTTAATCGCTATAAAGCGCTCTTTTCGTTTACTTCAGAATATATAACAATTCCCCCATCATTTAGTCATCCGTAAAACCCCCTTTACACTGGACGGCGTCCTTTATGCGTCCTTTGTGCGACCATGAAACTGGCATCTCTGGGGTCGCAGAAAGGAGGCACAAGCAACGCTTTTAGACTATTTGGTTGGAGAATGACTGCTCAATGATCGACCAGTTGTAGGCAAGTAAAGTATTATCCTTTTACTCTCAAACAGGGCCGTGCTACATGACGCCGTCCAGTGAGAGAGGGTCTAATCAAGCTGTTGCAACTGTCACATCTCTTCACCAGGCTGATGAACTGGTACCACATCTATGTACATCATAGATTGCGTTAGGTGTTCTCTTGACTTAGAATAGAGTGTGGAGTTCCATTTCTCTCTGACCAGGGAATTATATCGGATATAATTCCCTGCTCTGACCACAGGGTGCACTTGTAGTGTATGTTACGAAAGTGTTGAATGGCCCACAGTGTATTTTTGTATGCTATTTTAGGAGCCCCTGATATCAGAGGGTAGAGCTTAACCCCTTTAATGAAAATATCCATTGCATGTGGCGGATCGTGTATGTGTGTGTGTGTGTGTGTGTGAGCTTTATGCCCTACATCATATTCCGACAACAAGTACAGTCCAACTGACACAACCGACATGTGTGTATCAGTATTTAGTTTTCTTCTTAACCTAGAAATCCCTTTTAACGATTTCATTGTTTTTTCATTGATAACTTCCATTTAGAAAATCTGTGCGTAATACCATTACATTACAACAATGGCAAAATTTTGGAATCGAGAGATGAAATTACCAATAAAGGCACTGAACAAATAT